GAACGTAGGAAATACAACGTTCTGGAAATTAATTCCCTCCTGGAAAAGAAAATATCGCCTCAGAAACCCACATTCCAACACCAGGTAGCTTGAAAAAAAATCATTGGCCAAATCGAAGAAGTCTCCCTTGAGATGTAGACAGCAGACCCTGAATGGGGACCTTACTGATGATGACCTTACGCCACTCAGTTTCACTGCCGAAACAGTCCTGCGTGGGCTACAACTGGAGGTGGCGACGCGCGATTGCTTGCTCCAGTTTTAAGTGTGGTGTAGTACATGATATTCCGTGGGATAATGCGCGTTGAGTTCTATGTAGGCAACAGGAAGCACACGACTACCGCAGCCTGGCGATATTTGCCACGCCGCGCGGAAAATTGATCAGTTTCAATAGCCGCTTGTGCCATGCCGCTACCGAAAGCATCTCGTATGTTATTAGGCGAGTAAAAGGCCCTTGGGCGGTGCTCCAACAGTGCAAGAGGCATAGAAAGATGTGAAGATTGAATTACGATAATTGGATACTGAAAATAATGCAGAATCAAATATGGAGAGAGCATGAACTCTGGAGACGGATCTAGAGAAATTACTAATGAAACAGCACATACTTTCTCGAGGTATTGGAAACAGCAACGTAATATTGAAATATTGCATTTTCTGCGCTACTAACACCTCAGCTACTTTTGAAAACGTCCAATTCAATCAAGAAGCGCGCTACGCACTGTTGCCAGCGGAGCGTTGTCAATACATGTGCATTTGCTTGAGGAATAATATCAATTCTTGGCAAAAACGCTTATTTCCATTTGTATTCAGATTTTAACTTGTTTATCGGTTAGTCATAGTCATACACAGTTGATAAATAACTTCAGTACTGGTAAATCAATTAAATTACTAATATTCTAAGACACTACAGCATCTTACCTTCTTTAGTTTTTCATAATGACAATATACCATGGCTTTCTTCTAATGAACCTGTCAAATATTTAGACATTTTAATTGTTAGAGGACTTCACTATAAAACAGATTCTTCACAGAATCTCCTTAGCAAATAATCGTTGGCACCAACTTCTCCCATTAGTTAAATATTCACATTCCCTTAATGTCAAAATCAAAATTCGAATTTATCTAACAATGACCCTATTCTCACTTATACCTGTCCAATTTGTCTGCTTCCCCAATCCTTTTCCTCTTCAAAAACATCGATTATCAAAATTCAAGTGTCTGATTCTTGTCTCAGAACATGTTTAAAAGCACGGTAAGAGAACGGTCTGTTCCCAGTGAACAAATGTATAACGAATTAGGCATTCTACCTATCAAAAATTATTTTCTACAACTCTCCACTAAATTTAATTTCTGCAAAAACCATATACCATCTGCACACCATTTCCAGCTAGACAAAAATTACCCTCACCAAAATAAAATGAAACGAAAACTTCTGAAACAATTATTTTATTCTCCTTTGCCTTTCTCATCAACAATAAAGCTCGCCTACAGTAAATCAATTTAATTAATTTTTCCTATGATGCATTAGTTACATTTTCTTTCTCATTCAACTCTTGAACTCTGAAGTAAACTGTATATTTCTTAACCTTCTGCAAAAGTCTCACAATCCACCGCATGTCAATATTCAATAAAAAAAATTTCAAATAGGTTTTCAATAATTTCTAAAGGATTAATGTGTAAATGTATAATAAAAAGTCGAATGTAGGAAACGAAGAAAGCAATATTAAATATCATACAAATTCTGACTTACGAAGCATTAAACTGAGTGGAATCGTTCACGAATCGCAGACAAATCTCAGCGGGCATTTAATATTGTTGACAATTTACAGAAAAATGCTCATATTTTCAAAAACATTGAACATGAACTTATTTGAAGATCTACTTATGATAAACATATTTCATTAAGGGAAAAATGTATTTTCACAATTGTACTTATAAGACGACACCGAAAACGAAGCGCAGTCGATTCGAGAAGGCTATTTATATTTGTAGCGAAATTGCACAAAAATTACTCATATTTTTCAAAACTTTAACAAGACTTTATTCAAAGATCTGATTTTTATGAACATATTTCATTAAGGAAAGAATTGTATCTTCGCAATTTTAGTTGTAGGAAGACATCGTTGTTTTTTGTTATTTTCGTTTTCTTTTTAAATTTTTTTTCACTTTTTCAAAAAATCACGAATTGTGATGAAAATGAGACCAGCCCCATTCTCTTAAGTTACCTTTAAGCTAAGTTCCCAATTTAATAAAAAAAACGTTATGCTGTTTTAAAAAAAAGTTGTTTAAAGAAAATAAAAATTGCCTATGTTTGTCACAAAATTTCGCAAAAAATACTCATGTTTTTGAAAACTTAAACATGACCTTATTTAAAGATCAGTTATTGATTAACACATTTCACTAAGAAAAAAATTGTATCTTCATAATTGAAATAGTAGAAAGAAGCGAAAAATTTTGAATTTTTCAGTTTTCGAAATATAATGGTTTACAACCAACATGAGACCTGCGTCATTCTCTTAAACGTCCTTCAGGCTATCCACCAACAAATTCAAAAATAATAGAAAAGTGATACAAAAAATGAGATATGTCACAAGTAAATAAAAGTGGTATGAAAAGAAAATATAATAAACTATCAATATTGAATGTTTTTATGGTAAGTGGAATGGTAAGAAACATGTTTAACTGTGTGTATTATAAATTCATTAGTTTAATTAGTTATTCGTGGCAGGTCTCCAAGGTGGCTGCTCTTATATATATAGAGATAGATAGATAGATAGATAGATAGATAGATAGATAGATGGATGGATGGATATATAGATATAGATAAAGATATAGATATAGATATAGATATAGATATAGATATAGATAAAGATATAGATATAGGTATAAAAGTAGTATTTTTGACAACTTTGTGATGCTAACTTAACTCATTTTTAACATGTCAATAACAGTGATGCTTTTAAATTTCAGATATTCTGCCTGGATGGAGATGGTTCAGTCATCATGCATATGGGTGCCATGGCCATCATTGGTCAAACAAATTCAGAAAATTTCAAACACATAATCCTAAATAATATGGTTCATGATTCAGTGGGTGGTCAAGCTACTGCCGCTCATGGAGATAATTTCAGTTTCTTAGAAATAGCAAAAGGAAATGGATACAAACAGGTATTTTTTTCCTTTTTACATTCCCCACATACATATGCATATGCGGAGTAACATAGTACGTTGTAATAATTTTCGAAAACTCAGAAATTTTCTGTGAAAAAAGATTCAAATTTCTAATATACAGTAGCGTTTCAACCCCATTATCTTAAAAATGGCTCTAAATTTTTTTTAAAAAATGCCATTTAGGATGTGGTTATACTGTTCTTTAATATTCTTAAAATAATATTTCAGTTTTAATATTAGCAAACAGAAAAATTTAGAAAATGTACTTTGGGCGGTGTTAGATGACAGCTGGGGTTATGCCATTTTGGGGTTTTGTGGGTTCCTTAAGAACCTATAAGATCTCTCAAATAAGGTGATGTTATAATGGCAGTTTTTCTAATTCTGTGTATGGTCTTACTCAAATTTGATCCTGATTTTGGCACAGGAAGAACTTCTTCAGAAGAAATTTTGAGAGTCTGCCTCCACCAATAATGTTATGAGAATTGTTTACAGTAGCTTTTGTAGCTTTTGAAGATTCTGGAGACAGTTCACAATTTGTTGCTTCTGCTGGAGCAAAAGCATCAGAAATATTTGAGAGTATATCCATGTGTTTCTAAATTCAGAGAAAGCACTTTGTATTACAAATGTTCCTTGTTTTACAAATGCCTCTTCAAATTGAGAATTGACTTGATGGGGAGTCACCACTTCACCTGGATGATTTCGAAGCAAGTTCTAAACAGTTACTAAGTAAAAAGTACTGGGGGAAACAAAAAAAATCACCTACTCTTGAAACAATTATAGTAGAAATATTATGCAGTCAAAAATGTTGGGGCAAAGTTGCATAGCAATGTTTCACTTTGCCCCGCTGGAAGTTTGGCACAAAGTGGTTCAAAATAATGGCATTAGCCTCGCTTTTGTTCAAGAAATCAAAAAGAAATGAAAAAAAACAACTTATAAAACTTAGACATTAAAATAAATACTTTCATACTTGTTGCATTGTTAAGTCAAAGACAATATTTTACTTACGTTTTTGTAAAGCAGAGAGAAATATCATGAAAACAGCAATCATTCACTCTTCCGATATGCTAGCCCCACGACTGGCTTCAAATCTGTGGGTTTTAAATGCAGATTCCACTTTGCCCCTCCTTCCCCTACTTGAAGTATGTCAAAAGCTACAGATAAGGGTTGCTAAAATCAGCCGAGGAAATTCACTTTCAGCTTTGACTGAGACTCTTATGTTGCATTTAATCACTATTTAATTTTATTGGGGAAATATATTCTCAAATTCAAGGATTTGCCTACTTTTTCTTTCTTTTTAATTTTTGTATTGTAAAAGGATATAAATGTTTTTTGTTTTCATTGCACATTTCTGTTATTATAATTTTTACAATTACAAGTTGTGAAATACATTCAGCAGGTGGATTGTAATGTTTCAAAACAAATATGAATTTCAGGGAAAAGTCGCCACCACAGAAGTAGAAATAACGGAAGGTGTCAGATGGTTGAAAGCAATAAAAGGTCCAGCTGTTCTAGAAGTTAAAATTCGTCAAGGAAGTCGGAAAGGCCTTGGCAGACCCACACGGACTCCACTCCAAAATAAAGCAGATTTCATGAACTTTCTATCATACAGTTAAAAAATTTTGTCTAGTACCTACTTAAATTCATTAATTTTAATTTGTTTTGCTGTTCAGTATTTTATGTTTCTCAGTATAACTAGATGTACTCAGTTTGTGTGTTGTTGAGTTTTTGTACTCTTTAGTTATACGATTGGAAAATTAAAGTGCATTTATTAAGTCAACCATTTGGAGCAAAAGTAGTAGTAGACATAGGGATACAAACCAAGATGATGGCAAATTCTTCTCCAACTTGAAATGAAATAAATTAGTTCAAGGTTATGTAGCAGTCAAAGAATTGAATATAATGTTGTTACCATAACATGTTCTTCTGATAAACTTTGAGCTGAATTTAAAGGCATTTGTTTAAAAAACTTGAATAGGTATTTCTGCTACATTCTATGTTTTGTAGCAAGTGCTTAAAATGTATTAAACTATTTGAAATACTAAATATAACATTGTAGTACTTGATTGTGCAACCTTAATTTCCATCCATCCCAAATGGAGTCTTTTGAAATCTACGGAAAGAAGGTATTTTGAATTCATAATCATAAATTTGAGAATCACCATAGGTGTTTGGAAAAATATAGATTTTTTTTTTTTATTTTCAGAAATCAATGTTCTCATTTTTCATTGTTATATGATTTGTGAACATGATGAATCAGTCATGAATAATGTAGGAGAAAAACTTAATTTGAAGAAGTATTAGAATTTGAAATAAAGTTTTAAAGATAACACTATGTAAGGTTTCTCTAATCCACATATATTTTTTTTTAAAAATTACAGAAAATGGATTTTATTCATAATTGTATGCCTGTTCCTGGAGTACTTAAATAAGTATCAAATGTTTCAGGCATGCATTACCAACATCAAAACAACAAATTTACATATTCATGAAACTGTTACACCTGAAACAGCTCTATTTCAGAATTACAGTATCTTATTGCCAATTGCACAACTGTCTGAATGTTTTAGATTGTTTAGTGATTTCAGGCGCATAAACTGCTAAGGTCATTAGTCCCGTAATGTGTAGTGTATGTTTTATCGCAAGCAGTAGCGGTGATCTCACGGTGGATGTGAAGATCCGACGTCGACCTTCGTCGTCTTGATATTTTCCACAACCAGGTATCTCCCACCAGCGTGGGACCGCCCCAGCTGGTCAAGCCCCAGGACAAGCTCTTGGCACCCGATCGCTCCCCCCCCCCCACATGGTAGTGTAGTGTAGTGCAGGTATATGTGTGTGTGTGTAAGTAAGGGGTGAGAAAATGACGAAGAGGAAGGAAAGGTGGCGCGCGGTCCGTGCCCGTTTGTTAGAGTACTGCCCCGGCATTCTCTTTGCACTGATCGTGGAAACCACGTAAAACTGCCGATCAGAGCAGTGGACCTCTACAATTCTCTTCCAGACAGCGGCTGGATTCAGGCAGCGACCTAGCTAATAGAGCTCTGCCTTGGGGCGGAAACAAGCGCACGAGTCTCGCGAGGCAGCGCGCCGCCGCTCGGCGGAAAGGGGCGCCATCTCGGGGCAAGGAGATCTCTCGGCCGCCCTTCGGCTCTCGGTTTCTGCACAACAATCGAGCCGCTCGCTCGGCCGCTCGACGCATTTGCGGAATTTAAAGCGCTAGTGTTCGAAAAAATCTCATTTAATTGTAATTAATGACTTATTACGGAAATAAAATACATTTTCAATTGATATATTAATTTGATAAAAAGTAAAAATTAATCTATTAATTGGAAATCGTTTTATAGACAAAACAATATTTTTTTAAATAACTGAAGACAAATAGTGTGAAATATAATTTAAAATAAACATTTTGCGGCGCTGACACGCAACCGATATTCACACATGAAGTCTCTAAAGAAAAAGAATTTCACGGAAACATGACGAATTGCACTTTAATTTGAAAAATACGAATGATTTGCTTTAAAAAACGCATCTAAATATCCATGTCAAATGCAACCCTCAGCACGCAGCAATCAGACATATATCGTTGAATAACTCCTAAACGGCCTTAAAAACTACAATTTTGAGACCAAAGGCCCCAAAGAAACGTTCATCACACCGTAATCTACACAATGAAATAATCTTGGACATTCTATTAAATTTTTGCTGGTTCGGCACTAATAGATATTATCAATGCCACCTAGATTTCAATCCTTGGTGATGGTGACCATCTTTGTTACGTCACGTTTACAAGGCTTATATTCTTCTATCTTAGACTATTTATGCTTTCTGTATACACCGTGGTTTGCGCAGACTGACGTTTATTTGCATAATTATTGATTCAAGATTCGCTCTCGCAACAAGAAGTACTATTAATAGTTGCTTGTTACTGATGATGATTGTTTCTTATGCGTGTAGCGAAAACATTTATTTAACGTTTTGCCGAGGTATACAAGTCCTAAGTACATAATTGTGGAGGGATGTGGGTGTACAGTGAAGAGTGAAGACTGTCTAGTTAGGTTTGGTTTGTGTTTTACCTGTGCCAGAATTTTCGTTATCAGCAGTGATTTGGTGAAACTTTCCGAACGTGACTTTCAGTCACGTAGCTTTCTCAAGAGTAAAAAGCTTTTTTTTAAAAAAAATATTTAGTTTAAATATTTGGCTATCATGAAAAGCGAGAAGCTAGCTGTCCAAGAATATTGAATAATTACTTCAAATATTTTTAAGAGAGTGTTGTGAATTGTTCCAAGAAATCTATCGAAAATACCGAATAAATCTTTAATGAAAATTAACAAACAGGTTTAATTAACAACTTTCCTTTTTAGGCCCTGTATTACCACCGTCAGTTAAAGTTCCAGTTAGAGGTAACCGGACGTTTGTAGGCGAAATTCGTATTACGAGCGTCGGTTAAAGACAAACCGGAGGTTTACCGGAAAGTTATGTTAACCGCAGGTTGAAATAAGGGTTACTGAGTTAACTGCTGGTTAGGTGAAATGGCGAATGTAATGTAGAAACTGATTCTGAAGACGAAATGCTGTTAGAATATTTCGTTTATACCAGACGGCTCAAACGTTTGCGGCCCAGACGGGATAATTTCGGAAAATGGGACTGCCACGAATTTTTCGCACGTTTCAGGATTACGAAACAAACTGCTTTATTCGTATTGCAACAGATTGAAGATGAACTGGAATACGTTATAGACAGGTATGAGGATGTATATAATGAATCATTAATGGCACTAGTTATAGTATGTTCCCTCTGTAGGTAGATGTAGAACCTTTCCTTAGCTTTCTCTCTGAATTTTTGAAATAAGGTTATGTTGTGACCTCCTGGGATGTAAGGCATTGAAATGATACATTATTGAATTTGACGTGTTTAATATTAGTCTTATTAAATAATCGTATTCATTGATCTACTTATTATTTAATTCGTATTTTTATTAATGGTTTACTAGTTGTCGTTGATTTTAAGTAAGTCCATGCCATTTCAGTTTTTTGTTAATAAAATGCTATCACCAATTTTTTCATTATTATTTAAGTGATTACTTACAATTATTACTTAATTTTAGTATCCACAAAAGGGTTAAAGATTGTCAACATGAAGTCGTTATATTATTTATTCAGTTTCAATATCGAATGAATAATACCGCAAACCTTATTTTGATTGTCTTTAAATCTTTGTGGATATTACTACAATTAAATAATATTCATTAGAAAATAGTTGGTTCACTTTTAACCACATTTGAAATTTAAATGATTATTACGTAAATTAAATATTAATGTGATTATTATGTATTCCCAACCTGGTGTAAGTTAAAACAGGATAAATAGTGTTTAATGAAATTTACTTATTTTTCTTTGACGACTTTCCCTTTCCTATTGCAACAAGTTTCTGCATTACTCAAATTCAGAAGTTTACACTTTAATGTAATGAATAATTTTTATGTATTATCATATTTTGCATACATTCGTTAAGAAATAAGCTTGAAACATTTCTAAAGTAAATTACAAATTAAATGAAAATATCACTTCATGCGAATAAAATTTCAATTGATTTAATTTTTATTAGATCCAATTCATATTTGTAAAGCACTACTTGTTGTACTACTGGTTGTTATATAAGACGATTTTTAACATACTTTTCCATAAAATACTACAGTGTTTTGTGAAGGATTATAGTTTGCAATTATAAACAATATTTTATTTCTCATTTCATTTAGGCTTGTTTTCAATATTTCACACACACACGCACGCACGCACACACACACACACACACACACACACATGGTGTGATTTGCCTGAGGACGGTGGAGGCGGAGACGCAGGTTTCACCACAGACTTCTGATATTGGCACTTTGCCCCGCTGGAAGTTGGGCACAAAGTGGTTCAAAATAAGGATTAGCCTCGCTTTTGTTCAAGAATCAAAAAGAAATGAAAAAAAAACAACTTATAAAACTTAGACATTAAAGAATAAATACTTTTCATACTTGTTTGCTTGGTTAAGTCAAAGAAAATATTTTACTTACGTTTTTGTTAAAGCAGAGAGAATATCATGAAAACAGCAATCATTCACTCTTCCGATATGCTAGCCCACGACTGCTTTGCAAATCTGTGGGTTTAAATGCAAATTCCACTTTGCCCCTGCCTTCCCTACTTGAAGTATGTCCAAAAAGCTACAGATAAGGGTTGCTAAAATCAGCCGAGGAAATTCACTTGGCAGCTTTGGACTGAGACTCTTATGTCGCATTTAATCACTATCTTAGACTTTTATGGGGAATTATATTCTCAAATTCAAGGATTTGCCTACTTTTTTCTTTCTTTTTAATTTGTAATTGTAAAGGTATAAATTGTTTTTTTGTTTTCATTGCACATTTCTGTTATATAATTTTTACAATTACAAGTTGTGAAATACATTCAGCAGGTGGATTGTAATGTTTCCAAAACAAATTATGATATTTCAGGGAAAAGTTCGCCACCACAGAAGTAGAAATAACGGAAGGGTCAGATGGTTGAAAGCAATAAAAGGTCCAGCTTTTCTAAGAAGTTAAAATTCGTCAAAGGAAGTTCGAAAAGGCCTTTGACAGACCCACACGGCGACTCCACGCCAAAATTAAAGCAGATTTCATGACTTTCTATTCATACAGTAACAAAAATTTTGTCCTAGTCCTACCTTAAATTCATTAGATTTTTAATTTGTTTTGCTGTTCAGTATTTTATGTGTCTAGTATAACTGATGTACTCAGTTTGTGTGTTGTTGAGTTTTTGTACTCTTTAGTTATACGATTGGAAAATAAAGTGCATTTGTTAAGTCAACCATTTGTAGCAAAAGTAGTAGTAGACTAGGAGATACAAACCAAAGAGATGGCAAATTCTTCTCCAACTTGAAATGAAAAAAGTAAGTTCAAGGTTATGTAGCAGTCAAAGACTTGAATATAATGTTGTTACCATAATCATGCTCTTCTGATAAACTTTGAGCTGAATTTAAAGACATTTGTTAAAAAACTTGATAGGCTATTTCTGCTCATTCATATGTTTGTAGCAAGTGCTTAAAATGTTAAACGATTTGAAATTACTAAAATATAAACATTGTAGTACTTGATATGGTGCAACCTTATTCCATCCATCCCAATGAGTCTTTTGAAATCTACGAAAGAAGGTATTTTGAATTCATAATCATTAAATTGAGAAACACCATCAGTGTTTGGAAAAATATAGATTTTTTTTTTTATTTTCAGAAATCCAATGTCTCATTTTTCATTGTTATATGATTTGCTGAACAGTGATGAATCAGTCAATGAATAATGAGAGAGGAAAAAACTTTAATTTGAAGAAGTTATTAGAATTTGAATAAAGTTTTAAGAAGATAAACACTAGTAAGGTTTCTCTAATTCCACAGATATTTTTTTGAAAAAATTACAGAAAATGGATTTTATTTCATTAATTGTATGCCTGTTCCTGAGTACTTAAAGAAGGTTGTCAAATTGTTTCAGGCAAGGCATTACCCAACATCAAAACAAAACAATTTACATATTCATGAAACTGTTACACCTGAAACGCTCCATTTCAGAATTACATATCTTATTGCCAATTTGCACAAACTGTCTGAAATGTTTTAGATGTTTAGTTTGATTCAGGCGCATAAACTGCTAAGGTCATTAGTCCCGTAATTGTGGAGTGTATGTTTTATCGCAAGCAGTAGCGGTGATCCCGGTGGATGTGAAGATCCGACGTCGACCTTCGTCGATCTGATCATTTTCCACAACCAGGTATCTCCAACCGCGTTGGGACCGCCCCAGTGGCTCAAGCCCAGGACAAGCTCTTGGCACCCGATCGCTCCCCCCCCACACACATGGTAGTGTAGTTAGGTACACGTATATGTGTGTGTTTAGTAGGGTGAGAAAATGACGAGGAAGAGAAGGAAAGGCTGGCGCGCGGTCCGTGCCCGTTCTGTTAGAGTACTGCCCCGGCATTCTCTTTGCACTGATGTAGAACCACGTAAAACTGCGATCAGAGCAATGACCTTACAATTCTCTTCCAGACAGCGGCTGATTCAGGAGCGACCTAGCTAATAAGAAGCTTCTGCCTTGGGGCGGAAACAAGCCACGGAGCCTCGCGAGCAGCGGCGCCGCGCTCGGCGGAAAGGGCGCCATCTCGGGGCAAGGAGCATCTCTCGGCCGCCTTCGGCCTCTCGGCTTCTGCACAACAATCGAGCACGCTCGCTCGGCCGCTCGACGCATTTGCGGAATTTAAAAGCGCTAGTGTTCGAAAAAAATCTCATTTAATTGTAATAATGGACTTATTACGGAAATAAAATACATTTTCAAATTGATATATTAATTATGATAAAAAGTAAAATTAATCTATTAATTGAAATCGTTTTTATAGACAAAACAATATTTTTTTAAATAACTGAAACAAATAGTGTTGAAATATAATTTAAAATAAACATTTGCGGCGCTGACACGCAACCGATATTCACACATGAAGTCTCTAAGAAAAGAATTTCACGGAACTGACGAATTTGCACGTTAATTTGAAAAATTACGAATGATTTGCTTTTTAAAAAACGCATTCTAATTTCCATGTCAAAGCAACCCTTCAGCACGCCAGCCAATCAGAGCAGATATATCGTTGAATAACGTGCCAACGGCCTTAAAAACTACATTTTGAGACAAAAGGCCCAAAGAAACGTTCATCACCCGCTAATCTCACACATGAACTAATCTTGACATTCTATTAAATTTTTGCGGTTCTGCACTAATAGATATTAATCCAATGCACCTAGATTTCAATCCATGGTGATGGTGACCATCTTTGTTACGTCACGTTTACAAGGCTTATATTCTTCTATCTAGACTATTTATGCTTCTGTATACACGTGGTTGCGCAGACTGACGTTTATTTGCATAATTATTGATTCAAGATTCGCTCTCGCAACAAGAAAGTACTATTAATAGCTTGCTTGTTTACTGATGATGATTGTTTCTCATGCGTGTAGCGAAAACATTTATTTCAACGTAGAGAGACCGCTGAGAAATCTACCGGAAGTCGCGCAGAGAATAGAAGCTAATTCAGAGTCGGTGCATGAGAAGGAACAGTTCAACATCTTGAAGTGCCGTCAGGGCACTACGCACTAAGGATCCGTCTGAGTTTGAGACACCACACCAAAATCAGGAGTGCGTTTGGCATGGTCGTAGGGAAGGAAGAGACGAGGCCGAAGCCGACAGCCTGCACTCTTATCGCCCCGATACTCTTAATGTTAAGGCAAATGAGCCGGAGCCCTTCCTATGCTAATTCTAAGGCAAATCAAAGGGCACCCATCTCTGAATAAATTGTGGATGAACGTTCGCAAATGTGAGGGAGAATTGCCCATGCAGAAACCTGCTGCTTGACTTGCGAAAATATCGTCAGACGAGCCTCCGGAGATATCTTGACGCTAATCCAAAAACCCTGGGCGAGAGCGAGAGTAACGACCGGAGGCACGAGACGACTCCCGAGATTCGCGACCTTGACTAGCTGACAACCGGCCCGCTGCGAAGTCTGTGATATGCTGTAATCAGGGAAACTGAATATCCTGTTGACGCTAGTCAAGTGTCATATCTGTACGGAGGGTTACAGCAGGCACACAGAACCTTGTGGTCCAGTTCTACGACGGACACTAGCCAGAGCTCATGAGGAGCGCTCGTGTTCGCATTTGATGTAGTTGGCCTGTAACCTGCCGCGTCTAGAGAGAAATTAACTTGTGCGGAACAATGTTATCTGTTGTTGGAGCGTTACTCGACGATCTGGCGCAGCCGACTGCAAGGGACGGACAGGGTCAAGATCCTCGTCCACCGATGCAGGAGAAGCGACTGCCACTTACGTCAGGCTGCCAAAAGCGCCTGAGGCATGGTATTGGCTCTCTGCAAAGATAGAGGGAAAGCCACCTGACAGGGAGTCGTTTACGTGTCGCTAGGCGTACCCAAATAGCAATGAAGGCAACGTAACAGAAAATGAGAGTTCTCCAGCTAAATTTAAATCATTGCTGACGGCGCCAGGACCTTCTCACCCACGGTGCGCGAGGATGATATATGATGTTGCGCAATTACTCTGGGAGCAGTACAGAAATATTGTCGTTTCAGCTCTGGGTTTTCGGATGGACCTAACCGAGCTGCAGTATGGAATGTGCTAATAGTCCAGGTCCACGATTTATGCAATGTCCCAAAGAGATGGCATTCACTTGAATCAAGGGGTTCGGTGTATATTTCTATAGTGTGTATATGCTGCACCAGTGCATTGCTTTTGGAGGAGTTCATGAGGAATTACGTCGATCGCTTAATAGATGACGCGAAGAGAACGAAGCCTAGCTTATTATTGCTGAGGGACTCCAATGCATGCGTGCCACGCGATGGGGAGCAGCGTAGTTAGGAAACGAACCGACGCGGAGGTGGCTACTCGCTGGACAGCCTTGACAGTTTGGGTTGTCTGCCTCTCAACACGGGGGCCAGTCCGACCTTTCTAATGAAATCGTGCAGCCGGTGTTGATCCAACTTTCGTCATGTAAAAGCCTTGCTAGACTATTTATCATGGAGGTAGTGCACCATGATATTCACATATGACCACCAAGCCTTATGGGTATGAAGTAAAGAGCAAAATGTAATTTGAGCTCACCAGAGTGAGGTAAGAAGAAAAGCCTGTTTGGAACCACAGGAACGTTCGATCGTGAGTTCCTCATTGGCCGTATGAGCGAGGGCAAACCCTGAAGCATATGTGCCGCGCTGACTCTGAAGTATATGTAGAAACTCGTATATGAACCGGGGTATTTACCGCTTGGATGCGTTCAATGACAAAAGTACCAAGGAGGAGAGCCTTCTCCAGCTTACTGGCTGAACTGATCGATCGCGGAGCTCGCAGAACTTGACCAGAGCACACTAGCTCAGAAAATAAAAAATAAAAAATGGCACAGCGCGCTCTGGAGCCGCCCAAACTAGTGAATTCTCCAAGAGATCAACATCTGGACGCCAAAGAGCTTCACAAAGCCATTAAAGATTAGTAAGTGTCGTTGTGGAGAGAAGCTAGGAGGAGGTGGATCTGACGCGCTGGGGACGCCCGTATAAACTGGTAACGGCCAGACTCAGGGGTATGTTCACGGCGACCACCCACTTGCCGGTTTCATGGAAAAGTTGTAGCTACCTTGTTTTCCTCGCAGGTGATGATATTGACAACCGATAGGATCGTTCTGGAAGATCTAAGCCGGGTTCCGGCAGTCACGTTTGGATGAAACTTCCAGAGCTTCGGCCAAGCGTCCAAGATTTGCAAAAGCCCCCGGCATTAGATGTGGCGTCCCAAATGTAGCAATTAAGACGCTATTAAGTACTCGGCCTATCTATCTTGCAGGCATATAACTGCATGCATACGAGATGGGAATTTCCCCCGTCGATGGAAGCAGCAACAGTTCAGTCCTTCTTCGAAGGGCGATACGGCAGCCTACGATCCGGCTAGCCCTATCGGCCAATATGACTTACATGGACACAGCAGGCAAATGTTGGAGCGGATTATCTGCAATCGTATTGAGTCATTACAGAGGGCCTCGAAGATTGTCTGATAATCAGTACGGCTTTAGAAAAGCCGAATCCACGGTAGATGCTATTAAGGTAGTCATCGACATCGCACGCAGTGGGCCATTGAAGGCAAACCGATAGGAAAGGCGGTCTATGAAGTATCTGCTATAGTGACCCCTAGATCGTCTGAAAAACGTCTTTGAACACTGCAAGGTGGAGCTCCATTCTTTCTGCGCGACAAACTCTTGGAGTTCCATTGGTACATCTGCGAACTGGTAAAAAGTTACTTTAAAGGAGAGAGTCCTCCTATACTGAAACTTTGGGGTCTGCCCGAGTACGATTCTTATCATCCACGGTCACAGGCCGGGTCCCGCAAAGGGCTCGGTACTATGGTCCGAGTGTTGTTGGAACATTATGTAATGACGCTGATGTTGAAGCTC